AAAGGAACTTCGTTAAGTGCCGAAGACCTAGAAAGGAGTCTTCCTCTCTCCTTGGCATTTTGTCATTTCAACACGCATGTGTCTCCTGTGTACTGGGGACCAAAAAGACAAAGACAAAAGGAAACACAACCCCTGCTCCTAAGGAGCTTGTATTGTTCATATGACGTATTGGGGGCGCAGTTAAGAAACAGCCTACCTAGGGGTGATCAGGAGTGGCTTTTTGTAAAATTTGGCACAAGTGGACGTCTGGATTTGGTTTGGTCAACAAGCATTTATGGAGCTCTTGGTAATGTACTAGGCACCAGTAATACAGAGACAAAAGCCAAAACTGTGTCTGTATTCATGGCATTTAATAACAACTTGGACCTCTCTTAGAGCTTTAAGGTTTGCAAAGCGCTTTCTATCTATCTCATTTGATCCAACAACCCTGGGAAGCAGGTGCTGTTATTCAGAGGTAAAGTGACACGCCCAGGGTCCTACAGCTGGTAATTGTCTGAGGCTAGATTTGAACTCAAGGCTTTCTGACTCCAAACCCAGGGTTCTGTCCACTTGTTGTCACCTAGCCGCTGGGATTCTAAGAGGCAGAGATGAGGAGAAGGGGAGATCGACATGGTATTAGGGGAGAGACAGCTATGTATGCAGAGGCACAGAGGGAAGAGGTCTTGTGGCTAGGGAGTCCATAAAGGAGGATAATGTGAAATAAGCCTGGGAAGATAGGAGCCAGATTGAGGGGGCCTTTAAAGGCCAGATGGAAGAATTTGTATCTTACTTTGTTGTTGTATCTTACTCAAGAAGCAATAGGGAGCCACTGAGGACTTCGGAGCAGGAAAGTGACATGGTTAGGTTCCCAGCTTTGCTATTTTTACCACCTGCCTGGATTTGGGGACACGTTACTTTACCTTTATGGGCCTCAATTCTCCAAGGAAGAGATTGAATCGTGTAACTTTCCAGCTCCAGAACTATACCCCAATAATGATCCTGTGCTTTAAGAAGCTTATTTTGACGGGTGGGTGGGTGGGTGGGTGGAGAGAGAGAGAGAGATAGAGACAGAGACAGAGACAGAGAGAGAGAGAGAGAGAGAGAGAGAGAGAGAGAGAGAGAGAGAGAGAAACGAACAAACACATTTATTTATTAAGCATTTACTGTGTGTCAGTTAGTACCCTGGGTGTTAGGGATGCACAAACAAGCCAGGTTCTGCCTTCAAGAAGCTTACATTCTAATGCAGAATAGTGTGTGTTTGTGTGTACTCTAGCACCTGTTAATGAAAAATGCTTTGTGGCTATCTAGGGTCTGGTAGGTGTTTTTCTTTTCTAATTGGGTGATATGTATAAGGGGGGGGGATTGTCACTGTGTCACACTTGGTCATTTCCTGATCAGAAATATTCCAACCTCATTGCCAATCTTAGCCCTGATAACATGCCACCTGGGTGACTCTGGCCAAGTCACTTCTCAGCCTCAGTTTCTTCAATTGTAAAATGGAGATAACGATAACATCTACTTCCCAGGGTTGTAGTAAGGATCAAATGAGATAATATTTGTAAAGCACTTCTTGATGTTGTCCTATATAAATGCTAATATTATTATTATTACTACTATGATTCTGGGCCTCAGTTTCCTCTTTTGTAAGAAAAGGTTCAGTTAAAGGACTTCCAGGATCCCTCTGAGCTCTTCAATCCAGCATCCTGTGGTTCTTCTTGGGCAAATGCCCTTCACCTAGGGTGTGTGAATTTATTCTTAAAAATTATTTTGCTTACTAGCTGTGTGACCCTGGGCAAATCACTTAACCCCAATTGCCTCACCAAAAAGCAAAAAAAAAAATTATTTTGGTAACTATTTCCACCTAATTGGTTTCTTTTGTAATCTGATGCACTTTATGCTTTTAAAATCTTTTTTTTAAATTAAAAAATTTTTTTTTCCATATGCTTTTGAGTTGAAAAATTTTTCTCCCTTTTCCTCCCTCCCACCCTCCCCAAGATGGCACCCAATCTGATATAGGCTTTATATTTACATACCCATTAAACATATTTTCACATTAGTGAAGTTGTAAGTAAAAATTAAAACCAATAGGAGGAACCATCAGAAAGATGAAACAAAACTCAACAGAAGGTAAAAATAAGTGACAGCAATTTGACTTCCATAGTTCTTTCTTTGGATGTGGACAGTATTTTCCATCCCGAGGCCTCTGGAGATGTCTTAGATCCTCATAAGTCTGAGAAGGGTTCAGTTTAACAATATTAGTCATCTATGCTTTTAAAATCTTGATTTAAAATAAAATGAATCTTGATTCTGACAAGGGGTCCTCAACAGACCGCCCAAAGGGGTCCAGGATACAGGAAAGGTTAAGAAGCCTCTCCCTGCTCTAAGACTGGTAGTTACCTTCCTACCTCCCATGATCTCCAGGGTTTGAGAGCACTCCGGTTCCTTGGGAATGAGCAGAGGCTGACCAAGCTCCCTGCATCTCTCTCCTAGTCTAGGAGTGGGGAGTTGTAGTAATCAGAGAACGGTTACCATCATGTTTCACTTGCAAAATCCTGGGGCTGCCTCAGCTAACTTGGGGTGAGGGAGGAAGGAGGAACCCTGGAGGTAGGGGCTGAAAGCAAAGGAGGGGTGGGGGTGGGAGGATGTTATTTGATCTTCAGGTGAAAGGAGGTTTTATAAATAGGTCACCTTGTTCCGAATCTTGAAGTTTATCCTTTCCCAGCCTTTGTGGGGCAAACAATAGCTTGCCTGTTCTGGGGTCATTGCAAGTCACTGGGAGGGCAGCTGGCTTGCAAGGCTGAATGGTCCCCTGCCCCCCCAGCACCCCTGCATGTGGGCACTGCCCCTTGGGAGCACCTCCTTCCCCCACCCTCCACCATTGCCAGTTGTTACTTGGGAGCCTGGAGGTGGGGGGGGGGGAGCATGGCAAGCCGCCCTGCCTATTTTTAATTATTTCAACCCAAGGATAAGTGGGGTTTTTGTTTTGGTTTGGTTTGTGGATTGTTTTTTTAAGTGCATTCTGGCAGTAGAGGTCTCTGAAGGTCACAGGCCTACACAGTAGAATCACTGCTGCCTTTGCATTTAAACTGGGGTTCAGATCTCACTTTCAGACCCTTATTAGCTGAGTGACCCCCGGCAAATCAGGTCACCGCTGAGTCTCAGTCTCCTCCTCTATGAAACCAGAGGGTTGGACTCAAAAGCCCTTGGTAGTTGTAAGTCTGTGATCCTGTAAGTCCCCAAACTTCGCTGGGCCTCAGTTTCCCCCTCTGTAAAATGCAGGTTGGATGAGGCAGCCTTCTGGCTCTGAGTCTGCCCTGGTAAAGATTCGTGGGATAAGCATGAAGCAAAGGTTTGATAATGAGGAGCGTGGTCGAATGGATGGAAAGACTGGCCATGGAGCCGGGAAGATCTGGGTTCAGACCCTGACACACGGTACACTTCCAGGCTGGGCAAGTCTGTTCTCAGTAGGAGCCTCAGTCAACTCCGCAGGACTCAACAGCTCAGTTAGAGGTGGTGGCTGGGTGATTACAGTCAGGTTAAAAACTGATGCTTCTATGACCTCATTCCCTCCACGTGTCTATGTGGTCACTGGCCAGATCTTGCTGATTCGACCTCCACAGCATATCTGTTCTCCATGCCCTTCTCACACTCATGTAGCCACCCCTTTGGTTCAGGCCTTCATGGCCTCTGGCCAGACTATGCAGAGTCCTCCTTCCTGGTTCAAGTCTCTCCTCATTCCATTCTGTCCACTCAGAGGCCGGAGTGATCCCAGATCTGACCTTTGAAAGCCCTTCCCCGCCTGGTCCCCTCCCACCTTTTCAGTCCCCTTAGGTATGCATGGCTTCCCTTCCTGCTCTAGGGTCCAGCCAAACCAGCTGGTTTGCTCTTTCTCACACATCGACCCTCTGTCCTCAGGCCTTTGCACCGGCCATTCCCCCATGCCAGGAGGACACTCCCTTCTCCCCTGCTATGTGCTAGGCACAGTTCATAATAGTACTAACAGCAGATAGCTAACATTTACATAGTACTTACTGTATGCCAGGCACGAGGTTCCGTTGACAATAATCATAATATTATTATAATAATATAAGTAATGTACAATAATATAAACTAGTTAACATTTACATAGTGCTTGGTAAAAGCTAGGCACTAGACCAGGCCCTATTAACAGTCAGTCATAATAGCTAACATTTATAGGGTGCCTACTATGCTAAGCTCTTTACAAATATTATCTCATCCGATTCTCACAACACCCCTGAGAGGGGAGGGGCTGTTATTATCCCCATTTTACAGATGAGGAAACTGAGGCAAACAGACTTGCCTAGGGTCACACAGCTAGTGTCTGAGGCCGGATTTGACCTCAGGTCTTCCTGACTCCAGGCCCAGTGCTAAGCTCGAAGGAGCTTTCATTTGGATGGGGGAGACAGGATGTTAGGGGGAGGGGCGCTGTGGTCTGGAGTGGCACAAGAGTGGTTATCAGAGCCACAGGGCAGGGGACTGATACCCACTCTTCCAGGAGCAGTGGTAGCATTGGTGTGACGAGGTGCCCCAGGCTCGAAGACTGGGGGGGGATGGCAAGATATCGGGGTGGATGGTTGTACTTACTTTGGGGAAGTTACTTCACCCCTGGGGGGGTAGACTGGATATCTGAGGTTCCTTCCAGTTAAAAACAACTTGTTTCCTTTGACCTTGATCCCGCAATGCCACTGCTATAGGCGGATGATACAGATATTATCCCCATTTTACAGATGAAGAAGTTGAGGCTGAGAGAGGTAAACCTGATTTGCCCAAGGTTGCACAGCTCATGCCAGTACAGGAGGTGGAATCAGAACCCAGGTCTCCCTAATTCCCAAGCCCAAGGAAACCCTGGGGTTTCAGGGACAGGATTTTTATTTGATGCCTTACCTGTGGCTTTAGTCAGTGATGCTTCAAGGTGTTTAAAATGAATGTGTCCCCTTCCCCCACCCCAGCCATCCCCTGGCACCAGATCTTATATTTGGCTTTTTTCTTTATTCCCTCAGGGTTGTCCACGTCTTGGTCAGAGCCAACAACTGAGGGGACTGGTGCCGGATCCTGGAACAGCCTGGGCAGGTGCTAGACAGGTAGGCCCCTAGCCTTTTACTTCTGTGTCAGGATGGGGGCGTTGCCATGTGGAACGCTAAGACACGGTCCAGCGTCCTCACTGGTGACCCTCAGCCTCCAGGACAGGCCAGTGCCCCATGGCGTTGGGCAAATGAAAAATCTCCGTTGGAAATTTTAGAATTGAAATTGTTACAGGAAAAAAATAAGAAAAAAAAGCCGAACTCTGGAATCATCCTTGCTGATTGTAGTATCAGTCACGAAAGTCTGCATGGCACAGTGGACAGAGTGCTTGGTGTGGCTGCCAGGACAGGCCTGGGCTCAGGGAACGGCCTAGCTCTGTGACTCTGGGCAAGTCACTTAAATTCCCTTTTGCAAAGTGGGGATGATAGCAATGCCTGGCTTCCCTGGGTCAGTTAGTCATTAAGCATTTATTAAGCACCTACTGTGTGCCACTGTGTTAAGTGCTGGGGATATATAGAAAGACAAAAGACAGTTCTGGCGGTCTAACATGCAGTCAACCGAGTGAGAACAAGCAGTAGACAAGATAAGTAGGAGACGTGCAAGGAAAGGCGGGAGGGTTGTTGTGAAGCCACATAGTGCACAGAGCACTGGACTTGGAGGTGTGAGGTCCTGAGTTCAAATCTAGCCTCAGAGAATTATTAGCTGTATTATTCACTTCTGCTTCTAGCACCAACCTCCCAGGCACGTTGTGAGGATCGAACAACATCATACGTATAAAGTGATCTTCAAACCTTAAAGTGCTACATAGATATTATCTATTATTACAGTTACTGCATTAGTGTGGCAGGTGACTTAGGACTATGTAACAGTGTCTATTCTCATTGTGTATTTGTATTTGAAAATTTTTTTCCTTTGATCAGATCTGATTATATCATGTTAAATTCAGCAAACATTTATTAAGCAGGCTTTGAGGATGCGAAGATTAAAAAAAAACCAGATACTCCCTGCCCTTAGGAGGTTTATCTTCGACCAGTCAGCATTCCCTAAGTGCCCCTGAGGTTCCTCCTCATTCAGGAGGCAGATGGAGAGAGGGGGGCTGATAGGTATCAGAGCATTGTTTCAGCGCTGTGCGTTATAACCACTGGGCATGCAAAGAAAGCTGGGATTCGAACCCAGGCCTTCCTAACTTGAAGCTAATCTGCTGTGTCCCATGGCCCCTCTTTTGCAGGGGACACCTCCAGCAGCTATGTCTGCACTGTCATTTGTCATGCAGCTGAGAAAGGCTACAGGGGAGTCATGGGGCCGCTCCTGGCTTGGCCAGTGAGGACGGAGCCGGGCAAGCAGACCCAGGCCACTGAGGCCAGGCCCCCCAGGGGGATGTTTTGTTACTCCTCCCTCCAGGGCCCGTGGGTCCTGGGGACTGAGGAGAGCCAACACCTGGAGCTTCCAGATTTCTCCTCCTTGGCTGTAGACGGGCAGTGCGGCCCATCCTGCCCTGCCAACCCCTGGCAGGCACACCATCCTGGCAAGTGTGGCCAGAGATTATTTTCAAGGTGGAAAATCAGCGAAACTGAATAACAGAGAAACACTCTTTGGCCGCAGAGCGGCAGCCAAGTGACTCTCCTCCCCTCCCCCCCAACTCTCCATCTGCCTCCTGAGTGAGAAGGAACCTTGGAGAGAAGCCCAGCCCCCTCCTTTTACAGATGGGGAAACTGAGGCCCAGAGAAACAAAGCCACTTGTCCAAAGTCATACAAGTAATGTCTGCTTTCATGGGATAAGAGGTCGTCTTATCCAACCCCCTCTTCCTGTAGATAAGAAAGCTGAGGCCCAGATAGGGGTAGTGACCTCTAGGCTTATGAGATGATAGGCCTAGAGCCAGAAGAGACCTCAGAGGCCATCGAACCCAATTTACAGATGAAGCAGCTGAGGTCCGAGGAGGTGACTTGCTCATAGAGTCAGAGCCGTGATTCAAACCCAGATCTTTGGACTCCAGTTGTACCCAACATAACCAGCAGCTGCTTTTTTTCCTACCTCTTGTCAGATAAACCAAGTAGATTTAATTTGATTTAATTTATTAAGTGACAGCTAGGTCTCAGACACTGCCCTAGGTTCAAGGAACATAGCGGGGGGGGGGAAGAGCCCCTACTTTTATGAAGCTCCCCTTCTCCCTAGTAGAGGTGGGGAAGTAACATGTACATGGAGCGATTTAGGAAGGAGAGAACACTAACCACTTCAAGAGATTGGAGCAGATCTCACCTGGGCTTTAATCTCCCTGACCCAGGATTTAAAGGGAGCTAGGAACTCCACAAGGCTGGGAGGTGGGGTACCTGAGACGTCAGAGGCCTTACTAATTTGGAGCTGGCTATTAAAAAACAAACAAACCAGGCCTGTGATTTCATTGGATTCATGGAGTGTTCCTGGTGACAAACTCCCTTGGTCCATACAGCCCCCCACCTTCTGACATAGGGCAGCGATTGTTAAACTTGACGGTCTCAGGACCCCTTTACGCTCTCAGAGATTCTTGAGGACCCTCCCCCAAAGAGTCTTTGTTTATATGGGTCCTATTGATCAATATTGACCAGGTTAGAAATGGGAAAATGTCTTAGTATTATTACGGAAATAGCTTTGATTTCACAGTCACCCCAGGGGTACCTGGACCTCACTCTGGGAATGAACCACTGTCTTAGAAGAGTTAGCTGGGACACTGAGAACCCAGCACTTAGCACACTGCCTGTCACATAGTAGATGCTTAATAAATGTTGATTGTGGGGCAACTAGGTGGTGCAGCACCGGCCCTGAAGTCAGGAGTGCCTGAGTTCAAATCTGGTCTCAGACCAAACACTTGAACTTACTAGCTGTGTGACCCTGGGCAAGTCACTTAACCCCAACTGCCTTTAAAAAAAAAAAAAGAAAAAAATGATTGATTGATCAACTGATTAATTGATTGAGAGGTTGTGTCTTGGTCAGGGACACGGGCCATACTCAAACCCACGTCTTCCTTGAGGCCAGCCCTCTATCCACCTGGCCTCGCTACCTGTCCCCAACTCTGATCTTGAGCTTGGCCCCGGCGTGGAGAGCACCTTTCTTCTTTTTTCTCTTCCTGTCTCTAGAGCCTTGCACATCATAGCAGCTCCATCAGTGTTTATGGATGAATTGACCCAGGGATTAAAGTGACTCATTATGCTTGAGGAATCCTGGAGGAGGACCAGAGAGGGCTCAGATATCCAGGTCACTCTTCCTGCTCATCCTCACCTCCCAACAGTCCCCATATTCTTTCCCTTTTCCTCATGAGTTGCTGGGGCTTCTTTGACCACCAAGTCCAACCTGTGTCTGAAGAAGCCCTTTACAACGTGCCTAACAAGGGGGTCTGTTAACCTTTGCTTAAAGGCCTTTAATGAGGACTCCAGGGTTACCCAGAGAGTAAGTGACTGAGGCAAGATTCCAACTCACGTCCAGCTTCGGAGTTCTATCCGCTGAGACCTCTTACTGCTGCTGGTTCTGTGCCCTGAAGCCAGGCAGAACAGGTGTAAACCCTGCCGGGAGATGCCCGGCAGGTACCAGCAGTCAGCTCTCGTGTTTCCCCAAGTCTTCTCTAGCTAGGCACCCCCGGTTCCTGCAGCCAGCCCCCCTACAGCATGAACCAGAGGCTCTTCGAAGCTAAACTGGTAACAGAACCAAGTTTGACTGTGTTTCGTCTCTTCTGCCGACCTTCTTTTGGAGGTTCTGGTGAGAAGCATGGTTCCTGAGAGAGGACGTGGGAGGCGCTCAGACAGCCTGTGTGGTCAGTTCCCAAACGGACGGGATGCTGACATGTTGGCTCTGAGGCCAGAGGGGTGGCCTCAGGGGTCATCTGGTCCAGCCCCTCCATTTTCCAGATGAGAATACTGAGGACTGGGGGTGTGAGATGTAAAGGTGATGCTGAGCTCATCGGTTGGAGGCCAAGATGGTTGATTTGAGTTGTTTGTTCAAGGCAGCCAGACAGAGTGGACAGAGAGCTGGCTCCAAGGAAGATACGGGGTCAAGGTCACAGAGGCAGCAAGCATCCATGATGGCATTTGCACCCAAGGCCTCTGACTCATGGGGGTGCCCACTTAGGAAGCTTGCCCAAGTTCACACAGACGGTGTCAGCGGCAAGATTTGAATACAGGGTCTCAGACGTGAGAGGGCAGTGCCTCAGGGAGTTTGTCCAAAGTCACACAAGTAGTCAATGTAAAGGGGGGGAGAAGCGTGCAGGATTTGAACCCAGAGCCACGGACTCTAGAGCCACTGGTCGAAAGCTTTGTGGTCCATTGTTGGGCATGTTCGGGTGGACTTGGGGCACACAGTTGCTACTTAGGAAGGGCGACTGACCAGCAGGAAGCAGCATCACTGAGGAGGTCACCACGGGTGGGCAGCCAGTCAGAGCATGTTGGCAACACAATCTATTGAGTTCCTCTCTTGCTTCGTGCTTCCTCTTCACAGCCAAGGAACCCATCTAGAGGCTGGTTCTGGCCTCAGACTCCCATTCAGGCCAGCCAGTGGACCATTATGTTATCACATGGGTTATTTTCTGGGGAGTAAATTGTGGGTGTATCGGCCAGACACATCTCCGCTCAGAGAGGGGTGAAGATCTCTCACCAAAGGCCTGACTCAGTCTGTGGGAGGTGGAAAGAGACTCTCCAGGGATTTTCCAGTTTCAGTGTCAATAAAAATTTATTTAGTCCATCATTTAACAGGTAATTATGAAGCATCTATTGTGTGCCAAGGCCTTGTAAAGACAAAAAATAAAGAACGAAACAGGTCCTACTCTCAAAAAACAAAGTCTGCAAACCACTGTACAGACATTATTTAACCTGATAACAATGAGATAACATACAGAAGGGGCTTTGCTAACTTTAAAGGCGTAGGTAAATGACAGCTGCTGTTACTGTGATCGTCATCCTCACCACCAACCTATAGGTAGGGGTAAAGCTGGGAATATTAGACTGAAGAGGAAGCTACTGGTATTAAGCAGATTTTAAAACTCGTACCAGCTTATCAGTCTATCCTGAGAAGAAAAGATACTATAGAAGGGTAGCTAGGGGTGGCTAGAGAGAGCTAGCTTTGGAGATGATGATAATAATAACAATAATAATAATAACTAGCATTTATTCAGTGCTTTACAAATATAATCTCATTTGATCCTCACAATAGCATTGGGAGGTAGGTACTGTTATCCCCATTTTACAGGTGAGGAAATGGAGATTGACAGAAGGCAAATGACTTGCACAGGGTCACACAGCTCGTATGTGTCTGAGACTGGATTTGAACCCAAGCCTTCCCGACTGCAGGCCCAGTGCTTGCCACTTAGGTACCTTAAGGTCAAGAAGACCTAAGTCTAAGGTCCCATTTCTGATAACATACTAGCTGTGTGACCCTAGACAAGTCGATTGACCTCCCACCTACCTCGAAGGACTGTTGTGAGTATCAAATGAGATAATATTTGTAAAGGGCTTAGCACAGGGCCTGACACTTAGTAGGCGTTATGTAAATACTAGCTGTTATTGGTACTGTGATTACTTTGAAGCTGAGAGGCAGCCTAGCTTAGTGTTTAGAGCACGGGAGTTTGAGTCAGGAAGACTTGAGTTTGACTGCTGCCTTGGACACTGTGTGACCTCAGGCAGGTCACTTAACTGCTGTCTGCTTCAGTTTCCTGAATTGTAAAATGAGGATAAAGAACAGCACCAACCTCCCAAGTTTGTTGAACTATTCAAATGAGATAACATATGTAAAGCGCTTAGCACGGGGCCTGACACACAGTCGGTGCTTAATAAGTGCTTATTTCCTTCCTTTCTATTGGACTCTGGGCCAGTCCCTTGACTTAAAGTGGTATAATAATGTCTGAAGGGCTAGTGAGACTCAAATGAGTCATGCAAATCTCTTTGCTTATCTCTGTGAATACCTCATCTTCCCTCCTGGGGCTCTAAGTTTTCTGAGAGGCAGGCACCCTGTCTCATTCATCCTTTTTCCTCCCCTAGCCCTGGGCCCCTCAGACAGAACAGACGTTGAAACCCTGGCATTCTGGCCTCCAGGAGCGCAGTCAGTCCGTTGGCCCATAAGACGGACACCTGCCGTTTCCTTTCACAAAGACCCATGACTGGGGTTTGGGGAGGGGGTGGGTGGTCATGTCCTTGGCTCCAGCCCCTGGCCAGCAGTTGTGCTCCAGGATTTGACTATGTTCAGCTAACAGGTGTGACGTGAGCTGTGGTTTCTAAAAACAACAGATGGGATGTGTTGTTCATTTCTCCAGTTACTGTGACCCCTGTAGTAATATTTAACTTCTCCCCCCTCCTGTTCCCCCTCCTCATCTGTTTTTTTTTCTGTCCTTTAGGCAATCCCGAATGCTAGACAAGTTGACCGGGTCTCCTAGCAACCTTCTTTAGGAACCTTGCCGGTGTTTGATTAGAAAACAGGACAGAAGGCCTGCAATTGATGAGTTTACCTTGGGAGGACATCAAAAGGTGAAGTCAGACGCTAGCATGGGTCAGAAGGTCACCGGAGGAATAAAGACTGTGGACATGAGGGACCCTACGTACAGGCCCCTGAAACAAGAGCTCCAGGGCTTGGATTACTGTAAGCCCACACGGCTGGACTTGCTGCTGGACATGCCCCCCGTGTCCTACGACGTCCAGCTGCTCCACTCCTGGAATAATGATGACCGCTCGCTCAACGTGTTTGTGAAGGAGGATGACAAACTTATCTTTCACCGGCATCCGGTGGCCCAGAGCACAGACGCCATCAGGGGGAAAGTGGGGTACACCCGCGGGCTGCACGTGTGGCAGATCACGTGGGCCATGCGCCAGCGTGGCACACATGCGGTCGTGGGGGTGGCCACGGCAGATGCCCCCTTGCACTCCGTCGGGTACACGACCCTGGTGGGTAACAACCACGAATCCTGGGGCTGGGACCTGGGGCGGAACAGACTGTACCACGATGGGAAGAACCAGCCGAGTAAAACCTACCCCGCCTTCCTAGAACCAGACGAGACTTTCATTGTGCCAGATTCTTTCCTGGTGGCCCTCGACATGGACGATGGGACGCTGAGCTTCATCGTCGATGGGCAGTACATGGGCGTGGCCTTTCGGGGACTCAAGGGCAAAAAACTTTACCCAGTAGTAAGTGCTGTCTGGGGCCACTGTGAAATACGAATGCGTTACTTGAATGGACTTGATCGTAAGTATTGGCTTGGCTCTTTCTACTTGTGGGGGAAACTCTTCTTCTTGGGAGGGCCAAAGCCATAGCTCCCCAGAAGCTGGTGCCCAAGATCCCAGCAGTAAACAATGGCATATTCTACCTCTGACTGCTTACTATGACCGCCTGTGTGACCACTGGCCCTCTGAGATGAGGTGACTGTACTGGGTGGCTTCTGAAGTCCCTTTGGGCTCCAGGTCTCAACTTATAATCAGTCACTTGAAGACAAGGGAGTAGGACCAGGTGGCTTTAAATATTTCTTTTGACTTATAATTTCTGAACCTATAGAGAGCCCAGGATCAGGGATGAGGAGCCTACAGTCTTGAGGCCACATGTGGCCTTCTAGGTCCTTTGATTGAGTCCAAATTTTACAGAACAAATTCTTTTATTAGGGGGATTTGTTCTGCGAAGTTTGGATTCAGTCAAAGGGCCACACTTGAGGACCTAGAGGGCCACATATGGCCTCGAGGCTGCAGGCTGCCCACCCCTGGAGGTAGTAGTGAGTGTGTAAGAAGAGAAGAAGTAACTCTTCGATATTTTCCTCGAAACTAGAAACACCCACTGGAGCCCCCTAGACTACTTTGCAGTGTGGTATAGTCAACGGTACTCAGTCAGATTCCTACTAGCTGTGTGACCCTGAGAAAGTCACTTGACTTTGGTGCCTCAGCTTCCTCATCTGTAAAACAATGGAGTTGGACTGGATGACTTTTAAGAGTCCTTCCAGCCCTAAGTCATTGATTGGATAGTTCTGGATCCCTCTTCTCCCTCGAATTCTAGAAATTCCAGAATGAAATGACAGGTATTAGAAACATGAGCAAAAGAAGAAACAAAATTATCCTTATCTTCAGACACATGTGGTGATTTAGCCTAAAAAAGCTCCAGAGAATTGGCAGAGAAACTAATTAAGACCATTTTTAACTTCAGTAAAAGAAGCAGGATATGAAAAGAATGCACAAAATCACCAGCATTTCTTGCATACTAACAGAAAGGCAAGGAAACGGAGAAATTCCATGAGGAATAATTGCAAAGCGCGCAGAATACCTGGGAGTCCACCTACCAAGGCACACAAGGGATTTATTTAAATGCAACTACAAAGCACTCTTTACCTAAATAAAAGGAGGGGCCATGGTGGCTTAGAGGGTCAGTCTGGGAGACAAGAAGAGCTGGGGTTCAAGTCATTTTATGAACCTGGGCAAATTACTTAACTTCGCAGTGCCTTAGGCAACTCTCTTCCGTCGTTCAGTCAACTGATTAATAACCATCTATTAAGCAGCTGCTGTGTGCCAGGCCCTGTACTAAGCTCTTCAAACTGATGAGTTGCAGAATAGAGGGTTCTGCACCTGGTAGGCATCTGCGCTGGTGCTGGACTCTCTCACTGGGAGTTCCCTTTATCAAAAAAATTGCAGGTCCAGTTCAAAAAGAAAAGAAAGATAGGAAGATTAACTAAGTGGAGGGAACATGTCATTGTTCATGGTTGGGCAGAGCTGATATTTTCAACTCATGAGTCACCTTTTTTCTTGCATCTTCATAGCCCCATACTGTCGGAAGGTGAGGTTACATCTGTGTCTCACCTAATAACCCAACCCTGGTGGTTGTCCCTTTTATCATCTATCTCCCCCAGAGTTCCTTCCTAACTCATCATTGGTGCGGTTATCACTGAGGAGTAGACAAATTAGTCATTGGGTGGAGCCAGCTGAGAGGCCTTCCTTCTTGTCTGGCTGACTTGTGGAGCGTGAGTATGTTGGAAATTGACAGTGGACGCTCAGCGCTGAAAGAGAAATCTCCAGGGAGAGATAACGCTAGCTGTCTTTGTGTATTTGAAGGGCTATCTGTCACACAGAGGGACCAGGTTAGTTTTCTGATCCCCCTCGTTTAAATACTTTACAGTTCTGAAGGCTTGTGAAATGTCTTTGGGCAAATGGTCTTTCTAAGGTGCACTAACACCTCCTCCCACAAATAGCACTCATATAGACATAGAGAACTCGCAGGTGAGGAAATGCTCTTTTCCCATGCAAGTAGTCATTTTCTCTGCATCTTATATAGAGTTGCCTAGACCTGAGAGGTCAAGTGACTCACTCAGGGTCACGCAGCCACTAAAGTATCCCAGGTGGAACGGAACCCAGACCTCCCTGGCTTCAAAGCCAGCCCAAGCCTTGCCGCCTCCCTCGTATTGATGTAGCATTTGAAAAGCGCTTTACGTGTATATTATCTCGTTTGTGGAGACAAGCCACATTTGTGGGCGCGTTAAGGCGATCTTGGCAGGCATGCATTTCTTGGCTTGGGTGATGGTCGAAGCTGCCACCTGGCTTTCCAATGATAGAGGCCTGGGCTTGGTGAATTGGTGAGCATCTTCTTTGCTTTCCTCCTGGCCGTGGTGGTTTATGATCCCCTCCCATGCTCATCCCACCCAAGGATGGGTGATGGCCAGCAGTGCAGACCTTCCTGTGAAGCTGACCTTGGTGGGCTGGGAGCAGGTCTGGGCTGGCGCCTCCAAGTTCTGGCCTCGCTCTCCAGGCCAGACACAGTGGTGCATGCGGTCTCCAACCCTGGTCAGGGTTTTGGAGGCTGAATCCAAATATTTGCCCTTGACTTGGGTGTCTTGGCTCTCTTATCATCGTGTTCCACTCTTCCACTCCCATCCCACCCCCAAACTACAGCCTTCGAGAGAGGAAAACAACCGCATGATTGGATGTGGGTTGAACGTGTCGCTGTCACTGTTATTGTTTTAATTTTACTGTGGAAACCTTCTCCCTCCTCCGCCGCCCCCACCCCTCCTGAGCTTTGGCTGGGATAATGAAAACAAGTCCGACCGCCGTGTCTGCGGCTTCCAGAGCAGCTCTGTCTTGACCTGAAACAGCCCCAATACCCCCGAGTCATGAGACTCTCTTCTGGGCAGAGACGGCCACCCGCTGGGGAACCCGGGTTAGGGAAACCAGTGAGGCAGATGCCGAATAAATGGGCTGTTTTCAGTGGTGTATTTCACACCCAGGCCATGCCACCCTTTGGGGAAGGGAGACAGGTTCGAATCTCAGCATCTTGCCCCATAAGATGGAGCTTGAACTAGGTGACCTCAGAGGGCCCTGCGAAGGACCCAGCACTGGATTTGAAGTCAGGGACGATGGGTTTGAATTCCAGCTCTGCCACTTAACTCTCTGTGTGGCTTTAGGCAGATCACTGGAGTAAGTCCTAATAAATCTAGTAAATATTAAATCCTAGTAAATCTAGCACATGCCCGTGTAAAATGAAGGCATTGGAATAGAGCTGGTCTGCCCCCAGATCTGTGAACCTCTCCTTTGATTGGAGAAAGTAAAAACACGACGGGTCCTCTTGACCTCAGAAGCGCCTCAACCCTGAACCTCTGCGGCCCGCGTCCTGGGTGACTTCAGACAAATGGAGTCTTCTTTAAAATGAGAGGTCGGACCAGACGGTCCCTTCCCATGCCGAGCCTCCGGTCCTACTACTTTACAGGCAGATGAGTGTGAGGCAGGAGAAGGTTTAACTAGCCACGAGGGCCCCGCGGGAAAGTGGAGTTTTCAGATTTGAAGACCGCGGCTGACCGGGGAGGGCTTGTTGCCTGTGGGCAGTCCCCGGATCGGCGCAGGAGATGAGGAATTGCTCCTTGGCATCGTGCTAGCGCAGTGTCCCACGCTGGTTTGCGGGTTCGTCCTGTTTTCGTTACTTGTCCCCCCGCCGGGAAGGATGTGCCGGTTTCCCAAGTGCAGGGACAGCAAGGGGCCCGGGCTGAGTCAGGATGACCATCGGCGTCGTCCTGGAGAGCAGCATTTCCAGGCGCTGCCGATGACAGCTCATGTTTCTGCTGCTGCATATCTGGCCAGCCTGGACTCGTGTCAGCCGGGGAGTCGAGAAGCCCGGTGATCCCTTCCAAAAAGTGGCTGGAACGTCTCTTCGGTGCTCCCGTGGTGGCCTTCCCTCTGGCTGGAGCGGCGGAGTGCCGAGGGAAAAGGACTGGGGGTCAGACCTCCCGGGTTCTGCTTGTACTCTTAACGTGACTTTGGTCCAGTCACTCTTCTCTGGGATTCACTTTCCTCATCTACAAAATAAGGGCTGGACTAGTTGACCTTTAAGAAGGCCCCTTCCAGCTTTAAATCTTAATTCAATTCAATGAGCATTTATTAAGCACCTACTGTATGCCAGGCTCTGTCATGACCATGGCCCCAGTGCAGTTCCTGCTCTTGAGCCTAAGTAATGGGTTCAAATCCCACTGTGCAACCCTGGGCAACTCATTTTATCTTTTTCAGCCTTAGTTTCCTCATCTCTAAAATGGGGGATGCTAGCTGTTATCACCATTATTATCATATCTTGCCTCTGACACTCACTAGCTGGGTGACCCTAGGCAAGTCATTTCCCTCAGTTTTATTCATAAAGTGGGAATAGTTCTTATGAGAAAGGCAAACTTGAAAGCACTGTCTCACTAGTACTAGCACTCTCATCACCTGGCCCTGCTTTCAAGGAGCTTGACACCTGGGAGGGAGAAGAGATCCCAAGTGTCTGTGAGATGAGGTCAGAGTTTGAATCCTGGTGCTGGCGGTGTTTACTCCCTGTGTGACTATGGACAGGTCACGCTCGCTAGGCCTTAGTGTTGTCATCTGTAAAATGAGGGGTTTAGGTCAGAGGCTCTGCAAGGGAGGGCCTTTGTGGGATAAAAGTTCTGGACCCGAGTCCGTATCCCGACTTCGGGGCTCAAATAGGGATGTTTGTAAAGTGCCTTGCAAACCCTAAGGTATGACATAGATGCTGACTATTACTCCTCCTGCTCTAACTCTGCGGTCTGCAGGATCCCCGTGATCATGGCATCACTGAATGTCTCCCGCCATCTAGTTCAGGAATTCTTTCTTTAATAACCTCAACAAATCTTGACTGGAAGACCTCTTTTGATGGGGAACTCACTACCTGTCATCAAAGCCCGTTTCACTTGGGGGCAGCTCTCATTCTTGAAAAGGTTTTCTTTTTTAAAAATAATA